AAGCGCCACTCTACAAGAAAACGTTTTGCTCAATATGGTTGCGTGAAATGTTTAGGCGAATGTTTTTATTTTTAACTTTGGGAAGTGTTTTTACCCATACAACCACATACAGGTGGTTATGTGGGACTCACCGGCCTGAAGAGTACTACTCATTAAACCCAAGTACCAGGGTCAACCCGCATGGTACAACACCCACCAAATTGGACCACCTCCCAGGGTATCTTAGCTTCACGCCCGGCTGGTTTACCTGACGCTAATATGAGCCCCCCCTATGAGCCGACCCCCCTCCCCCCCTTCCCACACTATGATACATTACGAGGGTCTAGGCGGATGCCCACTAGTCGTCCCACGGGGACAATGTGCCCCGGGTATCTTAGGAAGGTACCTTGTAGATAGATCCCCAGACCCTGTATAGGATAACAAGATTGTCGAGTTGCCCGTGGAATTAAATTTTCCAGGAAATGAGTTCTCGTTCATTCTTAATGCAAAGTAATGTTATTGATCAAATGATGGAAGTGCGCATATTCAACGGCACAGGCCAATGAATTTCTTTCTTCAATCCGAACGCGAGCGCCGTACTGCGCTTTGAGTGGCGACAGATCTGCGGGGGAGGAAAACCGATACTACAGAATAGTTCTTACGATATTGGTTTTCCATATGTTAATAGTTATTATATTTATTTATATTTTCTATATAAATTAATCTATACTATTATCTAGATCTACTGGTAAATAAATGGAAAAAACATATTGCGCTCGATAACCTATTTACCTATTCAGGAAGGTTTTAGGCTATCTTACAATACGTGCTACATACTTATGTATATTAATACTACAAAATTAAACAATACGGACCGAGCATGGGTAACAGGGTTCGAAATGATAATTATCAGTGATAATTATCTTTGATAATTATCATGATAATTATCAAGATAAATATGGGTTGATAATTATCTTTGATAAATATAATTGTAAATATTTAATTTGTAACTCTTCAAATTGTCGATCAGCTGACTGAACTCTCTCAATCAGTTCAAAAAACTCAATCAGCAAACTGAGTTAACGCAGTTGAGGAGGATGGGGATGATATTCCACTCATTAATTTCACTTGACTGTTAAAAGTGTATAATTTATTCTAACGTAAATTATGAAAGGTAATTAGTCAAACACCAATACCTACACAAGGATTGCTAAGTTTATATCTGTTTGATAATTATCGGATAATTATCAAAAGATATATTTATCTTGATAATTTCATACCCTGATGGGTAAACGCAAAGTTTAGTTCGAGTGCAAGTCGCTCATCTACATATATCTATCAAATACATAGTATAAAACAATGTTGCTGTCTGCCTGTGTTTTTCTCCGCTTACTTCTTTAAATTACGCAATGGATTTTGATACAGTCTTCAATCATAGAATGAGCGAATGCTTGTGAATATAACTTTTCAATATTTTGTAGAAGATAGGTAGCTGAACTATGACGGTGTTTTATAAAAAAAAACTATTTTCGTACGCTTACACGGCTGACACTGGCTGAACCTTAAGAGATATATCAAAATAATGTAACAGAAAAGTCTGCAATACCATAAGTATATCTCCTAAGGTACACTCACAATAACTATTTTTATTTCTTTAAAATGTACCGAAGGACGCATTCGAGCGAAGGTTAGTCAATTATTATAAATATGGAATTACAAATTTCATTAACTTTTCATTAGGTATATAATTAAAAAAAACATATTATCCAATCTTGTTGAAAATGCCATAGTATATAATATATATTATATAGATAATCACAAAGCAAAGTTTGCTTTCGTGCTGGTATCCCGGCATTCGCAGGCAGTGTGCGTAGCTCCGCGTAGCTATCGTAGCCATTCGTAGCCACGTTACGTCATGCATTACCCATTAGGCTGCTGTATCGGTAATTTCTATGATAATTTTTACACCCGGAGCTTTTGAAATTCTTATACATTCAAGGTATTTATTTATTTATCTTTGCAGCAGATTTCTTTTTATTTTTATATAAGTTTGTATATATTTAATTTATCTATATAGACAAAATTATAACAATAACAATAGCAACTCGTTCACTCTCTACAACATACCCTAAGACCAAGTATATTTTTGCCGATCGGGACTGAAACCCACGTCCTCTAACGTGCTGGAAGTATTTCTGACCATTATAAAGGGGTCGTAAATATAATATATTTAAAGACTATTTTACTAAAACATTAAATAATTTAATAGAAAAATTTATGTTATTATATTAAGGTAGGATAGCATAGCATTCCTTTGATATAAGTATCAAAGAATAAATTCTTAGAAGTAAGATGTTATAAATAAAAATTTCCTTTACAAATAAGTACAATATGCTAAAAAGGCACTTAATATTCCCGAGAGGCAATTCTTAAAAAAATATATTATATCACAAAAATATATTTGTGACAATTTCCATCACTATCATGTATCTAACAGATACTTCTAAAACTATATTTATAGTATTTATTCGATAGACCTAAATTATCGGATACCGCGAAACTGCACCTCAAAAATCGATTTAGTCCCAAAGCGTTGAGGTCTCGAGGTGTAGGGTCCTCTACTCTTTGAGTACGAGGTGTGAGGCGCATGCGCCGCGGGGCCCTCTGACGTCAGCCGCCGGGCCGCACCAGTGCCCGCGACCGCGCGACCAGTCACGCGCGACTACCGCCCTGCATCTAAACACGAGCTTCCGATCTTAATTCTTAATCGTAACAATAAAATACACAGATTAAATAAACCATATGTTAAAAGTACTGCAGTATAATATAATGATGAATCCACACGTGATGTGACGTGCCAGTTGTGGACTCGCATATAAAATCACTGTACCATACCTAAGTATTTTGTAATTTTTTATGTAAATGTAGATTTAAAGTTACATTTGTAGTCAATATTTTATGTTGTTTTCATTTTTTTCTTATTTTTTATATTAAATATTTTATTTTTTCCCCACAAATTGATATAGGGGTAAACATTAAGTTTGACCTTGTTTGAATACTACGCATGCGATAAACATCTTTTACAACTCAGCATACTTAATATATTAATTTTATCAAATAGTTTTTAAGCTTATCCAAGTGTGGCATACAAAATTTTGTCTGTTGACTTTATAAATATATATATTTTTATATTATTTTTTTAAAGTCTATCAAACCTATGATTTATCAGTGCTATATTTCGTTTATTTCTGCTGAATATTTTTTTATGTATATAAATTATCCTTATCTTATATCTTTTAATTTTTTTTTTTCAATATATTTGGACTGTTTATAAATTATTTGAGTTTATTATAACTTGTTACTGATTATGTCAAAAAAATATGAAAAAAAAGTTTAGGTATATGACAATATAGTCATTACTGATTACACTGATTTCAAAAACTTACGCTAATATTAAAAAAATACAAACCATATTTAATCACATTATAATTATTTTAATTTTACTATAACAATTTTCTATGTTGCTTATTCATTTTAATTCTGATTTTACTCAATTTATCTTCTTTTATACAAATTTTATTTATGGTTAGGTACATATCCAAAGGATCATAAGCTGAGTGCCTCGGGCTGACAAGGGCTAAATCCATCTATCCCTTAGGGCCCTGCAAATTTTTACAGAGGATTGGTCACATGAGAGGCTAAATCATGCGATGGGAAACTAATGAAGTGTTTCACGTTTTAGAAATATCAAATTTCAGAGTTGATATTTGTTTTCAACTATCATATTATAAGTAAAATACATATATATATATATATATATATATATATATATATATATATATATTGCTTATGTATGCTAATAATGAACATGTTCCATCTATTTCATGTTTTATGATGCTACTGGCAACTTGCCTGGTTAAAATTTCACATGTATACAGGGATATACTCGTACATTATAAGATCCCTTTTTATATTGTGACTATATATATATATATATATATATATATATATATATATATATATATATATATATATATATATATATATATATATATAATTTTGTGTCCCAACCAAACAAAATATGTAAATAAGCTTCATACAGAACGAAGAACTAAATAACATTTCACCACATATCAACTCTGTTTAACTGTTTCGTGTAGCTTATTAACCTGAAAAATTCTAAAATAATTTACAGGCTTAAATTCCTTTACTTTAAAGTATTCCTAAAATTGTCCTTTCTATCTTGCAACTAGGAAATGTGATGGCTTTGTTTGAGGAAAAATCAGGACGGGTACTCATTGCGCGTTTTGAAAGCACGACGCAATCTCAGGTATCTCTCTTTTAAAGCGCTTTCAAAGAAGACTTCTTAAAAAAGTATGGAACAATCAGCGTTCGTGCGCATAGTACGAGAGAAAATAACTGTGTAGGCTACTAGCTTGTCTATATAAAATACTAATTGAAATATTAATTTACATTGAACTATTAGGTAAAACTTCAGCAATAATAATTATTAATAACTAAGAATAGAATTTTCATTTTTTTTTTTTTTCTTTTATAATTATTATTAAATTAATTTTATTTTATATTATTTTCATAAACTTATAGTTCTTTTTTTTGTTTTTACATTTTATTATAATATTTTGTTTTATACACAAATAGAGAATTAAAACGGAAGCTCGGTTTTAAATCAGATTTTAAAGTGAAGACTAACTGATGCATTTATAAATCGATCATTGATTTTGTTCTGAACTGTTCAAAAAGACAAAAAAATTGTTAAAAAAAAACAAATAAAACGAAAATTTCAGTGCAATATTAGTGTCAAAAAGTAAAGTTCAAAGATACTTTCAACGATCAAAGAATATTCCTAATCAATACATCGAAAAAAATATACTCAAATAATTATATTAGACTTAATTCATAAAAGTGATAATTAAGAATTTAAAAAATAAGAAATAAATAATTCTTCTGCAGCGAAATAAATAAAAACAATTCATAGTAATAAGGAAAAATGACGGTTTCTATATCGGTATAAATCTTGGCAAGTGTGGATGTAAGGCGATGGTGGAAGAGTGAGTGGCGCCCTGGGCGGAGGAGGCTCGCGGCACGCCGGCTGTGATGCGATGGGCCAAGACTGGTGCTTCCGCCGCAAGAGGAAGCGCAGCAGCACTCAGGATGACACCCAGCCGCATCACACCCGGTAATTCAGTAACTATTCTAACATTAAAGAAATTAAAATATAAAGCTTCTTTAAATATTACAGATGTATACAGTATATAAGATTTATTTACTTCAGAAAATACTTAATACAGATCAGTTGTTTTTTAAACAGAAAAGTATAACCTTTTTTAGTAATATAAATACATAATACTATATTATATATATATAATATTTAATTAAGTTTATAGTTTAGTAGTAAATTATTAGGAAAATTACCTTTTATTTATTTTATAAATTATTATCGTAACAGCCACCTATTCGAACATAAGGAAAACTCGAATTTTCATTGTAGTTACGTGAAAACCACTCTAGATGGCGTATGTAGTAGTTAAAATAAGTGGAAAGTACTTCATGCCATTCAGTATAAATTAAACTTAATAATCGTCTATGACCTAGATGATAGCTTAATTATCTTAGATTATATGGTACCTACATTATATATTTTCTGACTACGAATATATGGACAAAAGATTTTCGTAACGTTACTAACTTAAAGAAAATAATAACTAGAATAAATCATTTCATACTTTGATATAAAAATTCTTTGAGAGTATTTTTTACTTTAACTAAAGTAAAAACCTTTTTACGGAATATTATTTTGTCTTTTTAAGGCTCTGTTACTAACTATACTGTCACACTGTTTGTCTGTGCGTTTGCGAATACTATTAAAGATACAATTTTAATGGCGGTTGTGATAACGAACATAAAAATTGGAAGTAAAAAATACACACTTTTTATGTATGAAAGCGTTTGTACACACAGTACGTATAAATATAGTATTTATTGATTGGACAGATAAATTATATTAATTACAAAAAAAGAAAAAAATACTAAGGAAAAAAGTAATAGGTCTATGGAAAAATACTTTATCTCTTGTTTTGCCTTAGCTATTGATTTTATTTGTTTATTTGATAAAGTACCCTCATTGGCATTGGACAAGGTCCAAAACTTTAAATTCTGAGCTATGTAGAGATGTCGTATTAATTTGAATTAATTTTGTTTTATACGCTTTTTCATTTTTATTATCACATTCTATAAGTAATTACTTTGAAAGTTTGTTGCCCCTTTCTCTCATATTTTAGTAAGGTCAAACTATCCCCGGTTATTTTCTTAACATACATTTCTTTTATTTTACTAACTTTATTGATTAAAGAAGTACATTTGATACTTCCTTAGATTTACGCGAATATTTGACATTCTAAATAAAGCTATCTTTTCGGATTTTTTCGTGGATTTATTTTGATTTTTAGTTCCCGACGTTTCACATGGTCACAGGAGAGATCAAGGGGAGATCTCTCCCGTGACTATGATTGTTGTAAAGCATTCGGAATGTTGGAAACCAAAAATCAAAATAAACCCGAAAAAATAGTTTTATTTAGAAGTACATACCTATATATAAGTATAATAAATGATAAATGGTGGATTCTATTTTTCCAGATATGGAACAAATAATAATATTTGTTTCAATTTGTATATTAAAATCAAAAATAAACCTGATATATTGACCGCTATCTGGTAGAATAGTTAGGTTATTTGGAAACAAAGAGTTGAGAGACTACAAATGGGCAACTTACATCCTTAGATAGCTTTACGAATATTATAAATCTAAACATAATACTTCTATACATTATGAAGTAAGTAGTATTGTATAAATAAATTAATTATAAAAAATATTAAAAAAAACAAGCTTTTGTATGTTTATTTTCTACTTTTTTATCGCAATAATATAAAAGCTTTATTAAAAACTAGCATTGCCCGCGTCTTCGCCCGCGTTCGGATGACCAAAAACCAAATATTCTCCTGGTGCAGACAGAAAAGTGTAGTGCTTAGAGCTGCTACCACAGTGGAAATGAGTAATGACTGTGTTTTTCTTCCTCTGTCATGTATCAAATGAAAAATGTAATATCTTTGGTTGATGTGATAATCACTTTAGAGACTGTAATTTGTCTCCATAGAATATTTCTATATAATTATCTACATAGCCGACGCTGATTTTTTTTTTATTTAAAATTATATGAACATTTTCTATAAGTTATAACAATATAAAATTCGATACCTCAGTATTTTTTTGTTTTATCTTTTATTTCATAAATGTATATGAAGATTAATGTAAAGAAGATAAAAAACGTGTTTAATATGTTATTTATATGTAAATACAGCTCGTATTGACCCAGGTATACCGCCAATCTTGATGCCTAAGTATGATGCTATCATTATTTACTTACAAGTTTTACTTACAAATAAGTTATTACTCTGGTTTTCCCAGGTATACAATATGATTTCATTGCTTTATTTTTAGCACGAATTTTTTTATTAATATTGATATAATAATTTATGATGTATAAAAAACCAGACAAAAACAAACAACTTATACTTCTACTAGCCTTGCCCGCAGCTCCGCCCGTGTTCAGATGACCAAAAACCAAATTCTTAGGTTTTACAGATTAGTATACTCTTACAATGCAGTTTTTGTATTTTTTATCAGAAATTTGATATTTTTCCACGGTAAAAAGTACCCTATATGTTGACCCGGATAACCAGTGGTTTTTCTGTGATGCGGTAACAGACAGACAGAGAAAAATTATAAAAACTGTAGATTCAGCCTCTGTATCGATAATAATGTCTATTTCAATAAGATTTTCCAAAAAATATTTAATGTACAAATTCGGCTTAGTTACAATCTATACATATAATAAAATTGTATGTAAAGATTGTAATTGTATTTTATTATATGTTCAGATTGCAAAAATGTATAAGAAAGTGACGTAGCAACAAGTTGACTTTAATGTTTTTATTACATGTAGGTGTTATTGCCTATATAGATGTATTCTAACCTTATGTTCAAGAAATACAGATAGGTAGATACTCCTATAATACGTATTTTACACTCTACATTACCATATGTATTATTGTATAATATAATAACGTTTGTTCTAGCTATGTACAACTCACAAGTGTATTGTACAAGATAAATGCGATACGTGACCAGAAAATCACTGTGAAGAATGAAACAATATCGTGCAAAATAAATATTTCAATAGATTTAAAAAAATGCAACATTTGACGACACGTTTGGCTCAGTTTGTAGTGACCCTACTTTCTGTGCCAGCGGTCGCGGGTTCGAGTCCCACTGGGGGCATTCATTTGTGTGATGAGCATGAATGTTTGTACTTCATTCATGGGTGTTTATATTTATAATATGTATGTATTTAAAGCTATATATGTGTAGTGTATCAACTATCTGGTATCCATAACACAAGCCTCGTAGCTTACCATGGAACTAGATGGTGTTGTGTGTTAATGCCCCAACATATTCATTTATATTTATTTATTTGTTAAAATAATTCTCTTATTTCTATTGTTTGATATCAGATACTTTATCAGAAAATAAAGTAATATTACTAGAACTGCAGAACTATTACAGTAGGTACTATGTTATATGTTTTACGTGTAGATGTGAACAGTAATTGCATCTACGTGCAATCCTACTGAGATTATCTGTAACCACAAACGTAATAAGAAGATAGGAGAGGGTACACACTACACATGCAAAACTGGTCATTTCAAATATTCATTTTCAGTGTTTGAAAATATTTACCAATAAATTATAAGTCATAAATTAATACGTTTTTATTATAACGTGTTTAAAATTTATTAAACGTGTACAATTTATTTCATATAAAACTTTATATTTATCTGATATATATACCATGTAAAATATCACTTGGAGGTTGATGACAGCGCCCGAGAGCGGTCAAGTTCTCGACCCACGTGCTCATCGCGTAACAGCCCTTATACATATATGTATATACCGTCAAGTTGACTTTATTGACTTAGTCCTGCCCTTTAAAGAAGATTTCTTCTACGTCGTTATTATAATTTAAGAGTATTTCAATATTTCTTAATATGAGTTGTTGGGAAAATGCTTACGAGAGTACGTCCGAATGGACATATACATATACAGACAGGTATATATATCTAAATTGTACGTCCGTTGCATATATTACGGTTTTAAGATTGAATATTAAATTTACCTAAAGCATTCATATAAATTATAATATCTTAAATATCAGAGATGGATTAAAAATACGAAAAACTAAAATTTCAGATTTTTATATTTGAATTCTATTACAATTTATTATATTTGCTTGAAATCAGTTCCACCGATTCATAAACAGCTCAGGTCAGTTTCTGACCTATAAAAGAACGCACATTCTTATTGAATAAAATTGGTCGCTCAAACAGTGCTGTAGAGCACTAGTTGCAGTGAATGGCGCGGAGACTTGCGTCGTTCTCTGCACGAGGGTTGCGTGCCGGCGTACGCATGCGGCTCGCCCCTTTTCGACCCCCGGCAAAATGGCGGTGCCAACATGGCCGCCGGGCAGCCGCAGGATGCTCCGTGACGGCGTTTCTGTCCGAAACAACGCTGACACCATTTCTCAGCGACCTATAGATTTTGACACGCACATCCGCATCGGGACTGTCAGCGTGATCGATTTATTACTCGCTCGGAGACGAAGCGGTTCAAACAATTCGCGCGTGCAACAAGTGATATCATCCAAAAACTTGAGATAATCGACACACTGATACAAATATCTAGCAGTGATGTGATAGTGTGTCGCTTTTAAATATAGACCGTGCCCTTTTGCTGAGACGCGGCGCGGGTGAGCCAAGCAGCGTGTGACGTCGACCTCGCTCACGTTCCCCGCGCCGCGCAAACGTCAACAGTGCCGCGTCACGCAGACCGCCGCTACTTCGCATGAATAATATCAACACGCACACACTCGCGCCCTCTATCGCGTTTTTATATGATAGTGCCGATCAGTGAAACCTAACTATCCGATTATCATAATTGCTACGATCTGATTTAACATACATACGTACAATTTAATTGAACATATTAAAGATTAGACGTGCGATGTTTTATTTATTAACGCTCGATGAAAGGATAAAAAAAGCAATGATACAAAACGGCTAGAGACGGTACGATGCGTCCAGTAGCAGACGTGATCGCGTGTGCTCCGACCGTTCGATGAGCACGTGCTTTTCGTGCGGCTAAAATGTTTTTTCCGTTAAGTAACGAGCTAATAGAGTAGTAATGTGGGACTAGACCTGTATTTAAATCTAAACCGATGCATTTACTGGGAAAGTGTTCGTGGAGGGTGGGCCGGGGACGCGTAGGACGGATAGCGCGATAGGCGCGATGATTACACTGGTGTTTGCGGTATGGTCGGCGGCGCGCGCGCTTGGCTGGACGTGCGAGGTGACGGCCGCGACGCCCGAGACAGAGGACGTGCCCGTGCTGCCCCGCCTGCGCTCAGCGCGTGCCTCCAGCGACCTATCCACCCTCAGCACGACCACCACCAGTTCTAGCCAGACCAGTAGCGGAGATTATTCCAAGAGGTCAACGCATTATTGCAACTAAACTATTATCATGTTAATAAGACACACAAACGCTAATATTAGGTATTTTGTAAATGTTACATTTCCGCTAACAAATGATTCAGTAGCCATATACTATCTAAATAGATTAAACTAATAAAACATATTTAAAAGAAAATATTCAGATAATAGAGTAATATATCATAATGATAACTTGAACACTAATTTTAAGATAAAATTTTGACACATTTAAATAGATGCTTTGTATTTATCAGCTTCACTATTTAAAATTAAATCTGGTGTAAATTATTGTTAACTAGCAGTACCCGCGGCTTCGTTCGGCATAAAACTACAAAAAACCTCTAAAAACGTAGTTTTCATACAAACTTTCATTCCCTATTTTACCCCCTTATGGGATGAATTTCGAAAAAAGTTAAAACGCGTATTTATTTAATTGTATTGAAGAGCATTAATACCAAGTTTAAAGTAATTCTGATCATAATTTTTTTTTGGGTTGTATTATAACGTGTTTTCCTACAGGAATGATATAATATCCCGCGGTAAAATAAACCCTATGTCACTCTCCAGCCCTTCAACTATCTCCACACAAAATATCACGCCAAACCATCCCTCCGTTTCGACGTGAAAGAAGGACAGACAAACAAACACACTTTCACATTTATAATATTAAGTATGGATTATTATTAATATTTTATAAGTAATGCGTAGTAACAAGAAGCAATCCTTATCTATATAACTACAATATTTCCATTAAAACGTACTGTAGTAGTTACGTCAATTATTATTTATTATTATCTATGATGAGTAATGATTAAGTTACGTTGATTATAGTAGAAGGCCAGCATCATACCTACTGATGTACATGGCTATTAAGATCCAACACAATGATCGCGAGTTTTTTTAATAGGTAACTTTTTATTTATTAAAACCAAATAAATTGCTTTGAATTTTGTCGTTACACTCCAATAATACATCTATACTTATTATAAAAATAAGTCCCCCGGCCGCGTCTTTCTGTCCTCCTGTCTGTCCTCCTGTCTGTCTGTACGCGATAAACTCGAAAACTACTGAACGGATTTTTATACGGTTTTCAACAATAGAAAGAGTAATTCTTGAGGAAGGTTTAGGTATATAATTTATTATGCTTTTATGTAAATTAGCTGAAATACGGCGACAAATGTTGAAGAGGTCGCAAAAAATCTCGCCAAATGGGAACTTTCCACGCGAACGCCGCGTAAACTAGCAAAGATACAGTTAAGTAATGTACTAGAGAATTCAAAATCTATAAAAATGCTACAAAAAGTCCGCGATAGCATATCTCTATCTCTTACGGTTGACTTACAATAACCACTTTTATGTTAACATTTTTAATTAAAAACATTACGTTATTTTCAAAGTTATTTTCTTTAGTTCGGTATTAATCCTTATCCAAATGAATATTTTAGTTAGCTTAGTCATTTAATGCAGATTAAAATTGCTCTTTACACTAAATCAATCAGATGAATAGTTTTTGAGATATCGTTGTTAGAAGTAATTAGTAGCGAAACATTTTTAATGCTTGGCGAGCATTGAGATGCCTACGGCGAGTCCATCCCCTCTGCCCCGCATCGCTCGACCGCCTGCTCAAGCTATATAAACCGGGCGATGTAGCGCGCGATCCTAGGATACTTTTTACCGCGGGAAAATATCTTATTTCTGAGGAAAAATAGAAAAACTGCAATGTAAGAGTATACTAATATGTAACACCTAAGAATTTAGTTTTTGGTCATCTGAACGCGGGCGGAGCCGCGGGCAATGCTAGTCTATAATAAATGGGCTTTATTAAAATGAAACATATAGTAACTACCTATTTTCTTAATTTTCTCACAAATATTAAACTTCAACTAATATATTAAATTCATTTTCGTAATTTATATTTGATTTAATTTACCAACTTCATAAATTTATCTGATTAGTAAACTGTGAAAAAAGTTAATAATAATACTTACTGCTCACCTTTCTATGTTATTTCATTAATGTAGTACGTTTAGAATAAACAAATAATTTCGTAAAAACTATATTGCATAGGAATGCAGGCAAATCTTATTTTCATATTTATAATACCTGAGTAGAAAAGACAAAAAATACAATCCGCAATGAGTGGTTTTACTTTATATGAATATTAGTAAAACCCGCGGCTTCGCTCGTGCTAAATCTACAAGAAAATCTCTAAAAAGGTAGGTTTCATACAAACTTCCATGCTGCAAAAATGCTATAACACGTATTTAATTCTATTGAAAAACATTAAAACCAAGTTTCAAATAATTCTGATAATAAATATTTAGAATTATAACGTGTTTTCCCGTAGGAATGAGATAATCTTTCGCGGTAAAAAGTACCCTATGTCACTCTTCAGCACTCTTACTATCTCCACACAAAAACTCACACCAATCTGTCGAAAGAAAGGCAAACACACATTCACATTTATAATATTAGTATAGTATGGATATAGATAACATAGCAGAAAGTATATGATGCTAGATAGTACGTAAACATGTACATAAATCAGTAACTCATTCTATTACTGGGAGAAAATTGTGTTAAATATAGGCAAATTATGCGAGGTAAAGTTATTTTGGATCATTTTCATTGGCATATTAAGGCATCATGACAAATAATTTGTATCAGTAGTACACGTAAACTCTATGTAAGTATATAGTTAACTAGCGGCTCACCCTCGCTTCGCTCAGTTTCGCTTCCAGAAAAATCAAAAACAAATCTATCCCACGGGAACCGTACATTTTTTCGGAATAAAAAGTTGTCTATGTGTTATTCTGATGCATGAGCTATATTATTGTAAAGTTTCATCAAAATCCATTTAGTAGTTTTTGCGTGCAAGAGTATGAAACATACATCCATACATACATTCTTACGAACTTTCTATTATAATATTTTTTATAGTCTGATCACGACTAGTCGTGAGATACCCGCTAATATAATTTTTAAGGTAACAATATAGTAAAAACAAAGAAAATTATTTTCATTATAAATATTATTTTCATTTATTTCAAATATAATCCAATCGAAATCCGGTTCGGGAACAAAAAATTAAAACCTGAAGTTTTATGTCTTTAAACGATAGTTGGTATATAAGGAACAAAAATCTGTAAAATATAAAGCCGAGAAATGGGAATCATTCATGGGCATATAAAAAGTGTTAAAAAATAGTTTCTTTCAATTTCCGGCTTACTGTGACGTCCTATCGAAAAATGTTTGCTACAAAAGTTGTAGGTCTAGTAAAAATCTACAACTTTTATAAATGACACATTTTACAATAACCTCAAAGTTTTTGAGATATTTGCAAAAAACGTTTTTTTTTTTATTTTCTGCAATTTTTTTTTAATTTTCATGAAACTAGGGGAAATACATATAACCAAAAAAAATTTTGTCATTGAAATATTTGGCCATTTCCGAGAAATTTATGTTTTATGGTCTTGAGAGGCTGAAAATCATCCCCAACTTCAAGTGGATGTTTGAATGTTTCATTTAAAAAGTTTTTCGTTCAATTTTCAGGTAGGGCGCATTTTTTTCATCTTGAACTCTTCTTTTTGAAGAAAAAAAGTTTCCCAAAACTTTCATTACTTATTTTAGTACATAGTTTATTAAGATTACTGAACCGTACCTACCTACTCGAACTCTGAAACAGAAAAAAACCTAGTAATAATTTTTTTATTTTTTTGTATCTTAACTTGAATTTTATGCTACAAAATTTATTTCTGTCATATACTTAATTCTTGTACATATTTGTACAATGTACAATTTTATTATTTTATTTGTATGCATTTAATTTTAGTTTCTTCTATAGTTAATACAAATATTTAATTTGAGAGTGTTTTATTTTAAATCAATACATATTTAATCTTGTAACGAAAGATGAATATGATTATTTTTATTTATTTAGTTTGGGATAAAAATTGTGACATTTCGATGTGATTTCCAATTTGTCGCGAAGGGTCGGGCATGTCGTGAAATTCCTATTCAGTTTTTGTATTGAAATTGGTTTTTCTTCGGAAATAAGAAAAACTTATTATCAAGTTTGTGATAATATGAAATGGACCCGCTATTTAATTAAAATTGTTATTTTTGTGACGAGGTACAGTATCTTCATCTGATGTCGATATATCTAATACATACCTATATAAAAAAATAAACCACACACTTTTTTGCTAATCTTGCCCAAAAAAATTGTGATACTACTTACAGTAATATGAATTAGGGTTTATCAGAATAATATTTCTTTAACAAAATGTGTTAGCACTTATTAGACAATAGAAAACCAATGAGCACTCTCTTTCACTACGTATAACACAAAAAAGATATCTATTGATAAATTTAATTATAGGCGGGCATTGAAGCAATGAGAACATTCTTCTCGATTAACTACATATGTGGAGAGGGACAAAGATTAGGCCTATACGATGGAACGTGACAGGATATATATTAGTTCCAATCCATTAGGGTTATTTAGTTTTTACATTTACTTTATAATTTTTTAGTATAATTTAATAAGCTGCTACAAGTAAATCTGTATAATAAATATTAAAAATGTGAAAGTTTGTGAGTATGGATGTTTGTTACTCTTTCACGCCAGAACGGCTGAACTGATTTGGATGAAAGGTACAGAGATAGATTATAGTCAGGAATAATACATAGGCTACTTTTCATCCCGGAAAAATGTATGGTTCCCGTAGGATAAGTTAGTTTTTGTTTTCCTAGAGGCGTACCCGAGCGAAGCGAGGGAGAACTGCTAGTAATTAATAAATTGTTATCAAATAAATTTATATTTTCTTGCATTAATTTATTTTTACAATAAATTATTCAAACTGGATATTTAAAATCAAGTCTCAGTAATTTATTATACATTTTTTTAAATAAATAATTCGTGACTTCTTCACTTCGCGATTTTCTTCTATTCATGTTATTCAACATTTTCTCTTATACATTCATTTTTTCCCTTATTAATTAAGCTGAGGAAAAAATGTCATGGTAATTTGGATTGAAGTTAGCCAAATAAGAAAATTAAAAAAGTTGGTAAAAATTTGAATAATATAAGCTTATTTGTAATGGTAATCAATCTCTCTTAATTGAAATTTGTAAAACTTTCTTGCAAAAAACGAAAAAATAACCCTTATAAATATTTTTTTGATTATATATTTGAAGGTCCTTAAATAAATTATATTATAACGTAATAAATTAACTAGTTTCTTAATATTTCATAATCAAAACGCAATAGTAGAAAGCGAAGTAAGGCATAAAAATATATTATTAAAAAAAATTATAATATGTACATATGTCTCCGACTGCATAATACTATAATTCCATCGTGAACTTGTTTTCATCTTTTTAGTTAGCTTTTATGCAGTCGGGTTTATTATCTTTATAATATATTTATTTATTTACGGCTTTTTAAGTATTTTTAAGTAGGAAAATTAGCGAGAATTAACAGTAGATTGTATATTAATTAATTATTTAACCAACTTTAAATCATTAAATATCCGAAACTGTTATTTAAAATGAAAAATGAGGAAATAAACCTAAAAATGATTTTTAAATACCTATCCAACGATACCCCACTTGACATAGTTTGTTGTTTTTTTTTTTTGTCTTTTTCACATTATGGAATCTAGCAGCCCTCATATTTTTTTATGTCACCTATCTAAGAACACTTAGACTAATGAGACGAATCTATTATCTAACGATACCTTAATTAAAGAAATCCATCTAGTGGTTTGGAAGATACGAGGGAGTAAAGAATATTACAAATAAACATACAAAGATAGGCGCGAAACACTTTCCTTGCAGTCGGGTAAAAAGTGCATCAAAAAAGTATTAATATGCTTATAATATAGGTTTTAGGTATATGTATGTATATATGTACCTACATTTATACAAATGAGAAAAATCTGACTGCATTAAAAAAAATCTTATTCATACGTCATTGATTTTGATAGTATTCTTTCAAAGATTAAAAAACATATCTTTGATATATCTGTAGATTTATGTAAGATATATAAGTACATAGGCTGTACTACCTACTCAGCACCAATCCATATTATATTTATGTCGATCGTTAAATAAATATTTAAATTTACCGATATTAAAGCATAAAGTACTATTAGTTCCCGCTATCCATCACTTAATATAGGTATAGAGAGAAATAACGTATTCTTAGACTCGGCTGTGATTCATAGCGGTTTGCTCTTCCTAAAGATATGGGCCTTTATACAATATTGCAACTTTGCAATTTGACAAGTCGTGAAAAAATAAGAAAAAAAAAGGAAGTCCCGTAAAGAATACTTATTCCTTTGTATTTTTTTTCCTGTAGAATTTATTTATATTATAATTTTTAAATTTTATCGATATTTTGTTAATTTTTAATTGATTTTGGTGTATAATCTACATCATTCTGGCATTTTAATTTTTAAACTTCTACCGTGTTGAACCATGTCATTCAAAGCGTCCTAAAGACAAATGAAATTGTCACCCAACTGTGACCTCATGACGTTGCACAAAGCCTGCGTTGCGGCGTGCGCGCCGCCGATTTCAGCGGTACGATGCCGCAAACACAACGCGGTTACGTGTTTTGGCCCTAAGCGTTTTATATGTAGAATATGAGATTCTCACCTGAAATTCTTTGTTTTTAAGAAACTATGATGTTTTATAAGGAGTATAATAATTTTACTAAAGTTACTTCTATAAAATCTATAAAACCCTTTAACTTATCTTTAATACTTTAGCTAAGTTCCGAAATAACAATAATTTAAAGTAATTTTTTGCTTCTTAGAATAAATTAATATTACAATAAATTTGAACAAAACAAACTTAAAAAAAATCCTGTTGGTAATTTTAAATACTTTGTAGAGCATAACGTTTAATAAAACCTATTAATTCTTGACTTAATTAGAGGAACAATACAAACTAAATATCGTACGGTGTCGCTTATAGTCAATAAACCAACAACTGTTGTAATGTCATTAGATAGTTATATTCTAGCGGTTGTGTGTCTTATCATGTAGATACAATCTGTTACAATGTGTACGCGTGGTATGTGATAAATTACACCCTCTATATACTATCTAACATAATAGCATCAAAGTAATAAAACTATAAATAGATATATTGAATAGATAATTTGTTCATAATTTTGAAATGGTTGGCACAACTGTGGTGGTCGTAGCTTTTATGTTAAGATTGATTGTGGGAAATAGGTGGAGTGAAGCACCCCGAAGGTGGAGTGCCAGAGGAGCATCACGTAGACCTTTGCGCCGTCCACCTGTTTCTGCGAGGAGACGAACCACTGGCAGGTATTGCTTCAGATATCGTTCTCGATCTTTATTGTGTTTACACATTTTATACTAAAACAACAAAAATATAAAAAGAACTTTTTGAGTTCGAAATAGGCATTCTAATAGATAATTGCTGTCTTGTTTATGATAACAAAATGTATGCCATTTAAAAAATTCTAATTTTTCATTGGAAGGGAACTTCAAGTAAGTTCCACTTCAGTCTTAATCACGCTTCGCTTAATGACTTAAAAGTAGACTTTCCAATTAGTTATTTAATGTATGAAAGAAGATAATGTTTTTCTTATAAAATAGAATATTATGCAAGTTACGACGTCCTATGTATAGTTTTACATAGTCTAACTCTAAATGAATCTTTTTTTATATATATAATCCCTCCACGGCCGCGGATACGCCGGCGTGTCAGTTAACAATAGATTTCTTAGAATTTTAACTAATTTCTTAGAAATTCACCTGGAGGTGTTAAAAGTTAGTGCATTTAAACGTTATTCAGATAAAAAAATATTTCTATTTGATCAAAAAATATTAAGCTAAATAGGTCTTATTTCTTATTTTTTCGATTTTTATCAATAATTAATTGTTAGTAGCAACCAAGTGCGTAAAGCTAGGCTCTGGCTTAACACAGGTGTAAGGTGACACAGATATATGTATGTATACACCGAATATGCAAATTACTGCTGTGCCTTTTATAGTCAGACCAAAAGACCTGAAATAACCAATAAGATTTGTACGTCACTTATCGTATACTAATGATACTATATCTTAAACCTTGCGGGATTGCATAAAATAACTTAAAAGTTGACTCACAGTATTATAATCTATACATATAATAAAATTCTAACTGAGTCGAATCTGTATATTAAATATTTTTTGGAAAATCTTATTGAAATAGACATTATTATCGATACAGAGGCCGAATCTATGGTTTTTAGAATTCCTGTCTGTCTGTCTGTCTGTCTGTCTGTCTGTTACCGCATCACAGAAAAACTTGAAAATTTTGATGAAATTTGGTATGGTGATAACTGGTTATCCGGGTCAACATATGGGATACTTTTTACCGCGGGAAAATATCTCATTTCTAAGAAAAAATGCAAAAACTGCAATGTAAGAGTATACTAATATGTAAAACCTAAGAATTTGGTTTTTGGTCATCTGAACGCGGGCGGAGCCGCGGGCAATGCTAGTATGTAATATGTTTATTGTTCATTTATTAAACCCTGACGCAAAAGAGGGGTGTTATAAGTTTAACGTGTGTATCTGTTTATCTTTATCTTAAAATACCATTGAAATAACGAAATACCAAGTTTCCAATGGATTAGATCTGTGGAAGTTGCTCATATCCTTTTAACGTCTAAAAAGGAGCTCATGGCCTGCCAACGACTGAACGGATTTTCTTAATTTATAGCTAAGAACACTCTCGATCGCCTTTCAGAAAAAACACAAAATTATAATCGGTTGATCCATTTGAGTGCTATAATGATACATATAATAATTCGTCACTTTCTTATACATTTTCGCAATCTAAACATATAATAAAACTAGCATTGCCCGCGGCTCCGCCCGCGTTCAGATGACCAAAAACCAAATTCTTAGGTTTTATATTATAGTATACTCTTACATTGCAGTTTTTGTATTTTTTCTCAGAACTATAGATTCGGCCTCTGTACCGATAATAATGTCTATTTCAATAAAATTTTCCAAAAAATATTTGATGGACAGATTCGGCTTAGTTAGGTACAATTGTATTATATGTATAGATTGTAACTAAGCCGAATCTGTACATTAAATATTTTTTGGAAAATCTTATTGAAATAGACATTATTATCGATACAGAGGCCGAATCTATAGTTTTTAGAATTTTTGTCTGTCTGTCTGTATCTGAACGCGGGGAGAGCCGCAGGCAATGCTAGTACTATATATGTCTATGTAATTTTACCTTCGTTCCTTCAATGTAATCGTCCGGACAGTCGAAATTGCAGTCCTTGAAACGATTGGATCGTAAGTAGCCGTTTCAATAGATATTGGGTATAAAGGGTTAGTTGTTGCATGGTAAACTTAATTCGATATATGTACGATCTATTTTTTATTACATACATAATATTATAATTCGAATTGTTTTTAATTATCCGATTAATAAGTAGACTCGTAAATAAGCTAATAGTTACAATTTGTTAATGAAATAAACATTAATTTATACATTTTGCAAAATAAAATTTAATATGTGATATATCAGAAGCTTATTTTAGTAATAGCTTAATATATGGACTAAATAAAATATACTTATGTGTATTTTAATAATTTTAGTACTAGTTTATTGATTAAATTATGAAAAAACATAGAAAAAGAGAAGACAGGCATAGCTATAAGCCATGAACGAATTAGCCACATTCGTTCATGCTATAGGCGTACGGCAACTCGCGTATTTAATATGTTGATAAGCAGTAGTATAAATAACTAGCATTGCCCCCGGCTCCGCCCGTGTTCAGTTGACCAAAAACCAAATTCTTAGGTTTTACATATTAGTATACTCTTACATTGCAGTTTTTGTATTTTTTCTGAAAAATGAGATATTTTCCCCGCGGTAAGAAGTATCCTATATATCCTACCTGGATAATCAGCTATCACTATACCAAATTTCATCAAAATTCCTCCAGTGGTTTTTTGTGATGCGGTAACAGACAGACAGACCAAAATTCTAAAAACTATAGATTCGGCCTCTGTATCGATAATAATGTTTATTTCAATAAGATTTTCCCAAAAATATCTAATGTACAGATTCGGCTAAGTTACAATTTTATTATATGTATAGATGAATTATATAAAACTTTCAATATTTCGTATTTCATTTAAATTCCTTAAACTGTTGCAATGTAGAGAAAGAGCAAACATTCACTCAATCAATCATAAAATTGAATTATTAACATACTACGTAACATAAGTATGATTGCATTAACATTGTTTAAATATTAATAAACAACCAATATTTTTTTAATTTCAGTAAATTCACAAAACTTTAGTATATATTGCTAAGAATATAGAGTTCATTACAGGAGACGGAATAAGATCGAGAGAAGAAGATATGTAAGGTCTAAGAATATAATCTAAACTACCTGTTTACATTTCTCAGATGTAATAAGTATATTTTTGTTTACATATTTTACTCCAATATAAACCAATAAGCTATGAAAAAGAAGAAACCCGCCCCTTTTACTTAGCCTTATTAATTATTTAGTAATTAGATATGTTTTTTTTAATATAATAATGAGTATCGATCCAAGACTACAGAAAATACATTAGAATTTAGACTATATTTATGACAAATTTTATAACAATTGTCTGAATCATTAAGGATTAAACTATTAAACATAACTTATTTCCCCGATAAGTTACTATGTTACTTGAAACTTAAAAATGCGATAGCTTAGATGATCTACGAGTGTGTCAGTCGTATAGATTGTCTCATCATCTTACATGATGAAGATCTATACATATAATAAAATTGTAATTAAGTCGAATCTGTACATTAAATATTTTTTTGAAATTCTAATTGAAATAGACATTATTATCGATACAGAGTCCGAATCTATAGTTTTTAGAATTTTTGTCTGTCTGTCTGTCTGTCTGTTACCGCATCACGAGAAAACCACTAGACAGATTTTGATGAAATTTGGTATGATGATAGCTGGTTATCCGGGTCAACATATAGGATATTTTTACCGCGGGAAAATATCTCATTTCTCAGAAAAAATACAAAAGCTGCAATGTGAGAGTATACTAATATGTAAAACCTAAGAGTTTGGTTAACAAACAACATAACAAAGTAAAAGGAAAGAATGAGAATGAATTATGTTTATGTTTCATTTGTTTATATTGACTATCTAGATTAAAAATAGTTCGATTTTACGAAAGCCATTATCATCGCGCAATTTTTGGTAGCTTCGTCTATATCTTGCTATTTTTATTATATTAACTTGATAAATTTTCTATACATAAGGTTATCTTGTAAATTAGAAATTATATGATAAAATATCTTTACACTGTCTACGTCGTCATTTATACGTAATCTAGGTACTATTTTTAAACGGTTTGATTTAGCTTGCCCTGTTTGTTTGGGTCAAGTAATTGAAATTTTACCCCTTTCCTGATGATAGATTGATCTGATAATTGGTACATGTCTTTAGTTCTGATGACAATACGAATATATTTAGTATCATTGTAAGTCCAATATCGACGCTGCCACATATTTTGTGTTAGTTTATATATTTTCTAATAACGCCCTCAATATGAGTGCAAATGATACTTGACTAGTGAATACAGTAAACTTTGAAAAAAAAATGAACAGCCAACAAAATGGCCTATTACAAATATTTTCACTACCCCCTCAATATGGGTATCAAATGAAAGGGCTTTACAAGTAGAACACAGTGCATTTCGGATCTTAGAGTTTTTAGAATACTTAAAATTAGAAAAAGAAATGGAAAAGAAAGATAATATTTATGTAGATAATGTACTAAAAGCTATCAGTCATCACATCACTCTCCTCTTCAATCTAGGGCATTGATCAGACTCAAAAATAAAATCGTGGGACGAAGCGTAATCTGAGTAAATATGTAGCGTTTTTTTTATTCGTTTATCTTTCTTTTCAATAAAATCGTTTAAATTAAAAAAAAACCTATTTTATATGTATTTAATATTTATACTTAGCAATGTGATTCTTTAATTGCATATATATTGCTATTTGATATATATATATATATATATATATATATATATATAATTTCAGTTTCAGATATTTATATATTAAAGTTTGTTAGTATTTCTGTATATCTTTAAATAGAGACCTCTATCGAAAAAAGTATAAACTTTTAGCTTTTATGTTAATGTAAATAAAATCATATTTTTCCTTCCTCTTTAAAGCCTGGCAATGAATGAAACCAAAGGTATTAATTAATAAATGTATTTAATTAATTACCTTTTTTACATTTAATTATATATGTATCGAAACATTCACATCACTATAAGATTGTCTAAATATCAATATTTCATAATAATCAAATATCTTAGATATCTAGTTTTTGGTTACGGACATTTTTAATTGACAAATATCGTAATTTACTTTTTAAAATGAATAGACAGACATATGTATATTACCAATGGTACATATATTATTATCAAGTATAAAAGAAATATTTGAATTAGGAATACTAAATAATACATCGTAACTTTTTTTTTTATATGTTGGGACATAAGCACCATCTAGTTCCATGGTAAGCTACGAGGCTTGTGTTATGGATACCAGATAGTTGATACACTACACATATATAACTTTAAATACATATATATTATAAATATAAACACCAATGACATGACATATAGTACAAACATTCGTGTTCATCACACAAATGAATGCCCCCAGCGGGACTCGAACCCGCGACCGCTGGCACAACAAGTAGCGTCACTACAAACTGAGCCAAACGTGTCATCAAGTTTTTATAAGTTCATATGATAAAATATATCCTTTGTTATACGATATACCGTTTTAACAGAATACATGAAAAGAGAAATCCCTCAAAGTGTTCAATAGTTACTACTGAGTAAGAATATAAAAAACACCTATATTCTCATGCGGATTATCTATTAATAAAATCTTTCAAGTTTATTTAATAAGCAGCTAGTACTTTATTAGATTTGAATGGCAACGATATGAAACCATTGTACAAGATTTAAATCTTAAAATTATTAGTTATTCAGGGAATCTGTATAAATTGGTGGACGGATAATTAATACTAATTACTAAACAAACGAAATGAATCAGTTATACGTCAAAATTTCCAAGTATTAGATACATACAAATTAAAGATATTCTTAAGAATTAATGGAAATATATATTAGAAGTTTAAAAATGTAATAAAATTGTCAGACTAAGATATAATATTACGAAAATATCTGATCTTTAGTAAATAAAAAAACTCTCATTCAGTAATTATTTTACCTTTTATTGTTTTGAAGTCGGGTTTTTTTTTTAAACTAAAAGCTTATCATATTGCTTGTCTAAATTAATTAATAAATCATAATCTTAAGGAAAAGTTTATGTATTTTTAGCAAACAAAAATATTTTTGTTTATTCGAATGTTACTGATTTTTTTCCTCATAAATCAATTAACACTGAACGCGAATAACTTTTCCCTATGAATATATTGATAAGTAATACAATTTTTACAAGGAAATTATTTATTATCTTATCCTACGCTGTTTGGTCAATACAACTTTACGTATGTGGTTCGTGTACAAACACTATTTGCCGTTATCATTTCATTTCGTAATTCATGGCTAAATAAATACTTATATTAAATGTGATTAATATTTATCAAATATTAGTAAATTGTTCATATTATTATGAAATACCTTATATATTCTTTATATATATAATTCTTCTGTGAGTGTGTATGTCACTGAACTTCTCTCAAACGACTGGACCGATTTTGATGAAATTTTTTGTGTGTGTTCAAGGGGATCTGGGAATGGTTTAGATTCACAATTTGAATAATAATTTTCATCAAAAAAATTATTAAAAAAGTTTGAAATTTTCAAATTAAAGACGTGTAGACAGGACAACGTCTGTCGGGTCCGCTAGTATATATATGTATGAAACATTTGTACTAATGATAATAAATTGATTATTAAATATTTAATTTAAAGTATCAATTTAATTTATTGCACAATCATACCGTTCATATAACGAACGGTGTTATTTGATTTATTTAGCGTTATTCCTGGAGTATCCGTATTGTAACGATATCAGAACTAATTGTGAGTTCAATTGTTAGTGGAAATTGAAGTTGTTAATCCTTTGTTTCTTGTTTCAGCTTCGATGTGGAGAATGGCGGGGGCGCCGGCGTGGGCGCGGGGGGCGCACGCTCCCCTCTGGAGGGCGGGTCGCCCTCCGCCGCGCTGGTCCTCCAGTCCATGCCCCAACGCCGCGAGTCCTTCCTCTACCGATCCGACTCCGATTTCGAAATGTCACCCAAATCGATGTCAAGAAATAGCTCTATTGCCAGCGAAAGGTGAGTTCCAAATGAATATATAAATTATAAATGTATAAAATGTAAGCTCTTTTATGTCATTACGACGACGAGTATAGAGTATAAAATATCGAAACTATTTTGTGACATTTTGTAAGGCACACATACACGTACTCAAAAGGTTCTACATAAAATTATTATGTCAATTCAATGTTGTCAATCAAGCTGTTATGATATACACCATAAGATTTTTTTTAATCATAATACAAAATATTTGAATTACAATCGTTTAGAGCTTTTAAGTTAGTAGAAAACACTTGTACGTTATTGTGCAAGCTGAAACCTAACTCACAGAGAAAAATTTGTCATAGAAAACCAATAAGTGATACTTCATAAATATTACTATTTTAATAAACCTCTATACGTATAAATATCTTTTACATACTAATGAATAACACTTAATCAATGTAACTTTCACAACATTACTATGTTGCATTGTATCCACTTAAATATCAAGAACAGCCTTTTGTACAGGCCTGTCGTGTGTAGATGTAAATAACATTGTAGGTACGCACGTTGTACGATTACTGCAAAAATTGGAGTCGCTCATGTAGTTGTTTACATGCCAGAGTGTATTTTATTGATTTTTTTTAAATGAATTTACGGGATTACAATCTATTTATATATATATATATATATATATATATATATATATATATATATATATAAACATAAAAAAGTAGGAAAATTCCAAAAAAACTGCTGGAAATTCGAAAAGTTTAGAGATATTCATTTTGTATGGGAATCACTAGCCGCTAAAACGTACCTAGCGAAGAACCCGAGCAAAGCGTGGGTGAGTCGCTAGTTATTAAATATAATTTGAATTCTATCAATTTAATCGGATTATTTTTAATGCTTTTGTAATACGGTATTTTAATACCGTATTAATACATTTATGTATCGATAGTATAAAGTCTAAATAAAACGTCACTATAAGTAGATTTCATTTTATATATCACGAAAAAAAAATAGTTACTACTATATAATATATAAAATTTCTTTAAACTAGTGTATAAAGTAATGGAAAAAATCAATAAATTATTAACAAAATATTTTTTAAATATCTCAATTTTATTATCATAAAGATTCCCATCGTACAATTTTGGTACATATCAGATGTGCTTAATCGGGCTGTCGGGATTCTGGAGGCAGGCTTAACTTTAATTATAATTATGTTAAACAAACAGGGCCATTTGTACCTAAATTTCTTTTATGTCACTATAAGATCTTAAATATTATTGTTTAATTTCATCAAACGGTTTAATTTGACGTTTACTAAACTAAGGTTTCAACAAATTAAGCATGTAAACAAATTAAGAATACGATGCCTCTGTATTGCCCATATCAAATATCAACGATTTCAAGGCCCCTAAACTCTCGTAAAACTAAATTCGTTGTATAATTTAGGTTAAAAATCATTGAGCAGAAAACATCGAACCTCTAAAAGGGTTAGGCAATTGTAATATGATAGCTTATATCCGGTCTCAATTATATTGTTAAAGTAAAATTGTTCCCAATTATATAGAATTAACGTTTTTACGAGTTTTTATTTGATTTTCAGTGATTTTTTTGAATTATATTCGGAACTAAATTATTTTTATTTAAAATATTTCTTATCTAAAATCTAATCTAGTACAATTATAATTTATCATGTACTTATATTTTCTGCAATTTAACGAAACATTAAATTTAACTACTTGTTACAACAGAAATACTCAACAAAGTAGTACGAGTAGTAACATAGTATAAACTATAAAGTGTCCAAGGTCAGTTGGAAGAACACAGTAAGCTATTTCCCAATAAAATTTAAATAAATGTTGTATATTACTAACGATAAGTAGAGCTTACTCACATACAGCATACAGACTGGTAATAGCATGTCGATATTGTGTGTATGAATGGTCCCTGTGGTGTCGTGATATGAATGTTACGTGATAATTGTATTTTTGGAGTATATATGAAATGTCTATTAATTTTGATTTATCTGAATCATGCTATTGCCACCATCACAACAAAGCCTGCCAGTACACAAGTCCAGCACAGATTATTTGGTGTGAAGCTAACCCCGCATTTTAGTTTACGCGACCTCAAAAGCTTAGGTGTCTAAAGTCTTCGATCTATCTTTCTTTTCCATATTTTTAATTGCTTACAGATTCAAGGAGGTTGAGGCGGCACAGCTGGACAGAGCGTACGTATTATTATTTGGGCACTATATTATGGCATGTCTGCTTTGTTTACACTATTATTGGTTTTCTTAGCATGCTTGCACTTGTCTCGGTTTGTATATAGACATTGTTGTATGTTTGTGGCTGCGTTTTGAAGGCTTCTGCTCTTTGTCTATGAATTTTCATGTAATTTTCAAAATTCTTTAGGACTTAAAATTAGTCTTTACATTTATTGTCCTGTTATTCTTATCATTACGTTTACAAAAATCTAAATAAAAAAATAAAATATTTAACATCATTTGCTCATGCGTAACCATCAAAGTTAAATATCGTTTTCAGTAACGGAAAGTAAAATTCCAATTTTAAGATTAGGTACTTTTTTCGATCCAATTTTAAGATTACTTTTTTACTGTATTAATAAATATTTACAGGCTACAGCATAAAGTTAGAATTTCCATTGTAAATTTATACCCTTATAAAATACGGACATTAATATAAGTCACGGTTCTAACAAAGTTCATATACCCTATCCCTCTTTGTAAGCTCCGTTGAATTTCAATGAAACAAAATATATAATATAAACAGAAAGAAAACAACATTTACAATATTATTATTTTAATCTCCGTCTTTCATTCATATAACCTTAAACTTTAAAGTAAAATTTTGAGCGAAACTAGCGCCTCCAATATTACAGTACGCCCTTGCGTTGTTAAAACGTTAGGTAATGTAATTTACGGTGTCATCTAGGGATCAATCCAGCACTCAACGAAGCAATAAGCGATTCACACCTGAATCCTATTTAAAGGTGATATTACTCTTCTGGCTCTTGATTTCTACGTCGAACATTGATTACCGGCGCTCACCAGTGATATTAGCGCCAAATTTATCCTCGGGCAAAGTCGCGCACCTTCGGAGATGGCCGGGCGAGTGAGTGGGACGCGCGGACTGCGAGCTAGCGCCTACCAGCCGCTGCGCCGCGCCGCGCCGTGCTCCTCCATTGACAGTCCGCGAGGCGCGTCGACGGCACGTTGCTACAATGCCAAGACACGCATACGCTTAAGCCCTACGGTACGCTGTGCCGATTAAAACCCTCTACCAAACGTAAACCACATAATGAACCGTCCTTTCCTACTGGTCGATTTTCAATCCATACAACCGATTCGTTGAGTGCTATGCAAATTAATCCTAGTTTTTAATATAATCAAATAAAACGTGCTTATTGTTGAGTACTGGATCTGTGTACGAAGCTCGCGGTTGGACAACTCCGAGGTCATTCACTGGTTCGACAGGTCCCAGTTTACTATTGCATTCGATTATTGAAATAGACACATTCTCCGACTGGAATAAGATGTGTCCAAGATGATGAGTGTTCAACGTTATCTGGTAACCTTGCAAACATTCAGTAGCACATTGTTTTATTGATTGCGTTGTTGTGATGTTTACCGAAGTTCGCGAGTTATAAAAAACATTAGTTGCGTTGTTGTCGATAAGAATATACGGACGCGATAAAACAGTGTAAAAATGAGCTCTTTCATATTATACGTGACATTCATATGATTTCTAACATACCTAAGTGGATTACAGTGTACAGCATTTAAAATTTTACTTACATGTATGTATGTGTATAATTCCTCTACTGAAAGATCTTTGCGTAGTGTATGCCTAAATATATGAAGTAAAGAAAAAAGTTTGGCGGCTTAATTAATTGGTTAGGTTAGAAAATATTATGTCATGTAGGGAGAACTAAAAACGGGCGATCACAATGCATCGTTCGGGATCTCAATCTGAAGGGCTAGGAGCCGTCGGAGGACCAACGTTTATTGCTAAGAGCTCGGTCTCGGAGCATAGCATGGCAACTGGTGTATCCACTGCAAGTACTGGTGGATCATTACCTCGTACACTTAGCACAAGTGTTCTTCGCATAAAAAACAGATCCACTTTCTGGGATAAGTTTTGGGATGAGCGCTCCAGACGGGATACGTGAGTAATCTAATAATTAAATACTCCATAGCGAATCCCATTAGCTGTAACAATATTAATTTGACTAATTGTTAGGTCCAACCAACAACATTTCTGTTAATAAATTCATTTAAGTCAAATGTCATATACCTTAGCTAAGAATTATTTTATGCCAGATTCAATTATTTTCAACGAGCTAAATCAAAGGTAAATTAACTGCTTGCATGATAGGTTCATTCGAGTAGTGGTTTATACTCTGGTATACTCTATATATTCTGGTACATGCTGCATTGTTTGTTTCATTCGTTTTATATAGATACTATCTGCAGAATATGCCAGTTGTGTTTTATTTTTGTAGTGAATATTTTTTGTAACTAAAATTTTTTTGCAGTTCTCTTATTTACTACCTAATAATATTATAGATATATTCTACGATGCTTATATTACAATTCTTTATAATAGCTGTGGTCAAGAGGTACTTGACAAGGAATGCATTGGAGATCGCAGTTTTTATCCCTCCAATTGGCGAATTTGAATATAGACTACTTATGGAACCAAGTATTAGCCTAGCCCTATATATAATATAAATTAGGTTTCCAAGCACGAAAAAGGCTTAGAGATTTCTTCGTTCTCAAAAACACCCACACATTCTTAATCTGAGTAGTATTTTCTTAAATAACACTTCTTTTGATGTTATTTCATGAAGGTTATTAGTCTAGACTATATAATTAGTGGATTTTCAATGAATTATTCGAATTTCATCTTCAACGGGGCAAAAATTCTGATTCAATATAAAAATCCTAATACTTTCTTAGATTTACGCGAATATTTGACATTTTAAATAAAACTATCTTTTCGGATGTTTGTCGAGAATTTATTTGCATTTGGGCCCAACTCACAAACAAAAATGCAAATAAATCCGCGACAAAATCCGAAAAGATAGTTTTATTTAAAATAAAAATCCTAAATAAGTTTGATGGTCAACATCGTTTATTTAAAGAAATCTTTACATGACAAAAGAGATTCCGATGAATTGAGAACTTCCTTTTTGGAAGTCGATTAAAAATAATGTCTATCGCAAGAAAAAAAATATATCTTCAACCAATTATTTAATCATCAACTGAACTAATAAAAACACGGTTTTATAGAGTTATTATTTTTCACCACTTTTTTCACCATGCATCAAATGATGTTTGCGCGAAGTTGTATTTTATATTAATGCCATAAAATAAATTTTCTTGTTAGTCACTTTTAAGAAAGAAAAATATAAGTATATATAATTTACTTCAAATACGATTGATGAATTACTAAAACTAGAGTAGCTCTATATGATAGAATCAAAGAAGTCAATAAATAGAGGAGTACATATAACTAACAGCGTAACAGCCAAGTATAAATTATGTTACTAAATCTATACATATAATAAAATTCTAACTAAGCCGAATCTGTACATTAAATATTTTTTGGAAAATCTTATTAAAATAGACATTATTATCGATACAGAGGCCGAATCTATAGTTTTTAGAATTTTTGTCTGTCTATCTGTCTGTCTGTCTGTCTGTTACCGCATCACGGAAAAACCACTGTAGGGATTTTGATGAAATGTGGTATGGTGATAGCTGGTTATCCGGGTCAACATATAGGATAATTTTATACCGCGGGAAAATATCTCATTTCTAAGAAAAAATACAAAAACTGCAATGTAAGAGTATACTAATATGTAAAACCTAAGAATTTTTAAGTCATCTGAACGCGGGCGAAGCCGCGGGCAATGCTAGTACATAGTACCTATCTGGAATTTCTGACATTTTACTTTTAAGTATTCAATTCATTAAAATATAAAGCAGGTCTTTTATGTTATGACAGACATGAAAAATTCAAAGGTCAGAAGGCATTACACAGAAAATAATTCGATATTGACTGATAAAATACTCAAAAGAAATTTTAATAAAAATGGTAGCTGAAAAAATGTCGTTTCATTAACAAGACTACCACACAATTTTTCAGTTTCAGGAATATCGTTCCAGCCAGTTTTAGCTCTTTCCTTTATTTTACTAACATCGATATATAATGGAATGTTTGTTAGATAGAGATACAATGTTGGTTTCAATTTAATCAAAAGGTTGCGTGAACAAAGGATTTATAGCGAAATCAAGGGAACAATTTAAATAGACCTGTCACTCTGTTATATGTATATAGAGGATTTGTTGTGTTGATGAAAATAATACTAAACTTATTATAATTATATATATAATCAAATATGATTTGAAAATACTGTTAATAAAATATTTATTGAGATGTTAAACTAATAGGTAAATTGAAGTGTGTAATGTATACATATAATAGTGTAATTAAGCCTAAACCGATTAAACATAAGACAATTCTGCAAGCTTATCAAAAAATTCTGCCACACTTCCTAGCGTGGACGTAATATGCTGCGGCATTTAAAAGAATATAAAAAAGCTATTTACATACAAGGAAAATAAGGCAGTATACCACCCCCAAGCAACATTCTCTGTAAAGAAAAACTTTCTAAGAAATTATGTTTTATTTTTGTACATATTTTCAATTTTTAGATGAAGATGATCAACTAACAGTTTTTTCATTTGCCGAAAATCTAAAAATGTTTTATTGAATATAATATAATGCTTAATAATTCATCGGAATTTGTTCGGAACTAATAGCTTTAGGAAGGTCTTGTCTTGCCCTAACAAATGGCTTGAATCAATATTACTCTCTTACTATACAAGTAGGTACTTTTATTTGGGCTACTTCAAATAAGATTTAGGTTTCAATTTCATCGGTTGAGTAGGTTCAAAGCTGTTAAACTCTCCATTTTACACGGTCGCAAATAAAGCAAGGCTCATATTAAGTCGGTGTAAATAAAACAGAATTATGCGGTGCTAGAGCCGCTGGCAAAAATAAATAATAAACACTTATAGATTATAACGAAAGTAAAATAACTTAATAAATAAAATAAATAAATAGCTACGCTACACTATTATTTGCGCAACAACAAATACCAAACTACTATTAAAAACCTGTTTGTCTATTTGTTTGTACC